TCTCTCTCTCTCTCTCTCTCTCTCTCTCTCTCTCTCTCACACACACACACACACACACACACACACACACACACACACACACACACACAAACACAAATACATACACACAAACACTCCAACCCCCAGAATTATGGAATTAATTTTAACCTAGTAAATAATATAGTGTGCACAAAAAAAACCATTTGAGTGGCATCAGGACATATCAGGTAATATTTAAAAGTGAATTACAAACAATATGGCTTGATAAAATATACAAGAAAATAAGGAATCCTATGCAACTGGGATTCTGGCTTTAGAAAGTCGCAGTATATTAGGAATAGTTGATCTCCACAGAAATCAAACATTGAACATAATAGTGAAAGGTGAGAAAGGAACTTAGTAAATATAATTGTATTGAATAACCTTGTCTTCAGAAGTACTCAGAAGAACTCCATGATTAAAGAGGGAAAAAACATAAAAACTACTCTGTCAGATTGTGCTCTGGTTTATTTTTATCTCAGTCTGATCATACAGTCTCAGCTGTGTCTAGGTAATTACAGTTGACTTTGCTTAGAGAGGCAACACCTGTTTAATTGAAAGGGGAGTGTTATTAGATGCTTTATTTGCTTTGCAAGTTGTTTTATCATTTAGAATACTGATATTTGTTCCTCGTTAATATTTATCACTTCTCATGGGGTCAGCCTCAGGAGTGAGTCACTTGCCTACAATCCTCCACTGTTGAAGCAAGGAAATGAATGATGACTACTTGGTGGTCCTTTGTAGTATGGAATACATGATGTAAAATATGGAAGTTAATAAATTGTAAATATCCTGGTTATTTTTTTCATCCTTAAAAAGAGATTATACTGGCTTGAGAAAAACACCATGCTTATCCTCCAAGTTGAGCAACAATTTGTCTTAAAGTTTAAAAAAATCAAATGCAAAGGAAACTATTGGAGAGATGTAAAGCTTTTCTCTTACCATTAGCTTTCCATTGGACATTTGCTGTGGTTTTAGGTAAAGTAGTATCTAAAACCCCATTATTATTTTCTTAAGAATTACTGATGAAGACTGTTAAGAGAAAAGTTGACAGAAATGCTCAGCAAATTTATCCAATTTCTATTACCCAAACTGATAGCTATCTAATACAAATGCAAGGATGTGGTTGCAGAGCTAAGTGAAACCCCATGTTTTATTTTTAGCTTTTATGTATTTTATTTTTCTGCATTTTCCTTTGCTTATTACTGTGTACTAGTGCACAGTAATTTTGAATTATATGTGGAAATGTACTTACCATATTGAAATATATTTAGACATATCTTTATATCAATCTATCATGCCTCTGTTGTTCAAACATTCAAAATTATTTCTTATTGCTTGCTGAAATAGACTCAGTATTAATAAAAAACAACAAATTAACACTTAAATGGAAACAAGACCTCTCCAAACCACAAAAGTTCTTCCTAGACTAATTATGACTACTTACTTAAAAATAAGGGTAATTTATATCACACATTGCTCATGCTACTCAGAGTTTATTTTAAAATGGTGAGGAGTTAAGATTCTATAGCTCAATTATAGAATGTGGTTAGCATATAGAGAGCCTTAAGGACAATCAAAGGAGAGAGAGAAACAGAGAGAGAGACAGAGACAGGGAGAGAGAGACAGAGACAGGGAGAGAGAGAGAGAGGGGGAGAGGGAGAGAGAGAGAGAGAGAGAGAGAGAGAAGTGAGCAAGAGAAGGGAGAAGGATGGAAAGACAGACACACTGAGAGAATACAGAGAGAGAGAGGGAGAGAGAGAGAGAGAGAGAAAGATTATGAGAGGAAAGGGAAAGAAATGAATTTTTGGAAATGCATTTGTGCCTTAAGTGTGGTATCTCAACTCCTTTCCACTGAGCATTTCTGTATGTCAGTATTATCATTTGTCAAATGCCAAATTTAATCATTTTTTTCTTTACTCTTGAAGAGCCTGAAAAGAATCCAGTATGCCCAATGTCACTGCAATTACTGGATTCATCCTCATGGGGTTCTCTGACATCCATGAGCTACAGACTTTATGTGGAGTGCTCTTCCTAGTGATGTACATGGCAGCTGTAATAAGTAACCTGATCATCATCACTCTCACCACCTTTGATCTGCAGCTTCAAACACCCATGTACTTCTTCTTGAAGAATTTGTCTTTGCTAGATACCCTTTTTGTGTCTGTTCCTATTCCAAATTTCTTTGTCAATAGCCTAACTCACAACAATTCCATTTCCACTCTTGGTTGTGTCTTCCAGGTATTTTTAATGACTTCATTTGCAGCAGGAGAAGTGTTTGTCCTGACTGCCATGTCCTATGACCGCTATGTTGCCATTTGCAGCCCTCTGCACTATGATGCCATTATGAATGGTGGCACCTGTGTACATTTGGCGGGGGTTTCCTGGGCTATTGGGGTAATAATTGGAGTCATATATACAGCTGGCACATTTTCCATGCCCTTCTGTGGTTCCAACATGATTCCGCAGATTTTTTGTGATATTCCCTCATTGCTAAGGATTTCATGCTCCAAAACACTTGTGGTCATTTATTCAAGTCTTGGAATTGGTGTTTGTGTGGGCGTATCTTGCTTTATCTGTGTGGTGATCTCTTACTTTTACATTTTCTCCACCGTGCTTAAGATTCCTACATCTAAAGGTCAGTCCAAAGCATTTTCCACGTGCATCCCCCACCTCACTGTTTTCACTGTTTTCATTGCTACTGCTTGCTTCGTCTATGTGAAGCTGCCCTCCCACATACCATCAATTACAGACAGGCTTTTTTCTGTGGTCTACACTGTGTTACCTCCAGTACTTAATCCTGTGATCTACAGCCTGAAGAACACGGATGTCAAGTGTGCTCTGAAGAGGTTGAAGCAAAATCTCCGCCTAGGGTTTTCATTTCACTGAACACTTTAAAGTATCTGTCAGTGATATAAGTGCCTCATGAGTTACAAGCAAATTTTGCCATTTTTGACTATATAAAGATAAGGGTAGATATTCATATTTCCCCTAGTAAATAGACACTCAGATTAATGCTGATTTTTTTCTATGTTCGGAAAAATTAGATTATATGAGACTAACATATAAAGCCACAGTACAAGTATCTTTTCTTTTGTGATAAAGTTGTTTTCATTTGAGCAATATAATTTTCTGAAAGGATTGGTCATTTTCATGGTAAGATTCTATATTTAATCATTTGTTAACTCCTTATTGTATTCATTTGCAAAAGTATGAAAATAAATAAACAAATGGAGAAGGCATATGAGCTATAAAGGTAAATTCACATATCGTTTCCAAGACAGTCATTCTAGTAGTGAGACAAACAATAGGGAAACCAACACATTAGAAACAGAGCATTCTGGAGATTCAGCTCAATCCTTAAAGTAGTAATGAATCCTTAAAGCAGTGTCAAATGCTTAAAGCAAAAACAAATATGCAGAAAGATTATATGAGCCAAGTTATAAAAGATAAATTATAGCCCTTTGGTTGAGGGTATTATCAGAAGGACACTGGACTAGAGACAGAAATTTTGTGGCTCTTTTTCTGCAGTTTCTTATAAATAGAAACATTACTTACAGTTGAGGCATGGCAGGCTGATGAACCTGAGGAATTAAATAACCTTACAAGATCATTAGCAGTGCTCCTTAACCTAGAGTTCATTAACCATTGCGGGTGTGTGTGTGTGGAGTCCAACGACACTTTCACAGGGATTGCATATCAAATATTCTGCTTATCATATATTTACATTACTATTCATAAAAGTAGCAAAATTACACTTATGAAATAGCAACAAAATAATTTTATGGTTGTGGGTCACCACATCAGAAACTGTAGCATTAAGAAAGTTGAGTACTGGGCAATGGTGGTGCACACCTTTAATCCCAGCACTCTAGAGGCAGAGGCAGGCAGATCTCTGTGAGTTCAAGGCCAGCCTGGGCTACAGAGTGAGTTCCAGGAAAGGCACAAAGCTACACAGAGAAACCCTGTCTCAAAAAACTGAAAAAAGAAAGTTGAGTACCACTGCCTAAAGAATTCATAAAGAGTACCCCAAAATTACAAAAGTGTTAAATAATTTCTAGGGTGAGGAGATGCTCTGAGTATTCTGGGTGCCTGAGCAATGTTCACTGATCTGTGAAACTGCATGCAAACTACATGTGAAACTGCAGCTTTAGAACTACAGCTATGGTGAATGAGAGCTTTCTGGGCTATAGCGAGTTTGAATCCTCCGTGCTCCTGTAAATAAGTAATCCCAATAAACCCACTGGTTCATCACAGTGGACTATGGTGGAATTACTTTGGTCTTTCTTTGGTTGTCTATCTTTTTTTTTTTTTTTTTTTTTTTTTTTTTTTTTGTTTTTCAAGACAGGGTTTCTCTGTGTAGTTTTGGTGCTTGTCCTGGATCTCACTCTGTAGACCAGGCTGGCCTCGAACTTGCAGAGATCCATCTGGCTCCGCCTCCCAAGTGCTAAGATTAAAGGCTTGTACCACCACTGCCCGACATCTATCTGGTTTGAGTAAATATTTTTTGTTTTTTTTCTCCATGGGAACGGTTAACATAACAGTAATTCATGTATATCTGTCAGCCAATCTGCAGGCCAGAAAAGTATTACCTATAACTATGTGCAGGTGAATGTTCCCATCACTGTCTAGTGAAGCATATGGAACTGACTATAATTGCAGAAGAAATCACTTTTCTATTAAAGATTTCCTTTGGTGTATTTATTGGTGTCCTAATTACAAAATACTTTCTTTACCATATATGTAATTTCTTTGGACATTCTATATTTTATCAGAAAAAATATCTCTTTTACATATAATTTAGTTTTAATTTCTAGAAAAATATAATACTTAGAATGTATTGTCTCTTTCAATTATATTAACAATGTTTTATAGTCACTCTGACAAAGTCATCAGTCTGAGTTATGAATGGAAGCGATGTCCATCTCCCCTATTATCCTATCCTACATTAACCTCACACATACTGAGACAAATCACTTAACCCTCTTTATCCAAACAAAATACAAAGGGACTCATCATTCTAGGGTGCACCCTGGGATCCTCAAAACCACTGTCAATAACCAAACCCATCAGCAATGTATGGTTTCCTAAAACCTCTGTGTGACACTTGATGACAAGCAAAATTGCATAAGGAAATGTCCCTACTATGCTTGACTCAGCTCCAACTGCTGTCTGTACAAGATTATGGTTGATTGCACATCAACTTAATTTCTTTTTTTATTGAGAATTCTTTTATTCATTTTACATACCAACCACATGTTCCCCTCTCATCCCTCTTCCTGCTCCCCCTGAACACCTCTCCCAACCCACCCCCACCACCTCCTCCAAGAAGGTAAGGCCTCCCATGGGAAGTCAGCAAAGTCTGGTGCATTCAATTGAGGCAGGTCCAAGCCCCTTAACCTGCATCAAGGCTGTGCAAGGTATCCCACCATAAGTAATGGGCTCTAAAAAGCCAGCTCATGCACCAGGGACAGATCCTGATACAACAACCAGGGGCCCCTTAAACAGACCTAGCTACACAAATGCCTCACTTATGTAGAGGGTCTAGTCCAGTCCCATGCAGGCTCCACAGTTGTTGGTCTAAAGTTATGAGTTCCTACTAGCTTGGTTTGATTGTCTTCTGTAGATTTCCCCATCAAGATCTTGATGACCCTAGCTCATATAATTCCTCTTTCCTCTCTTCAACTGGACTCCTGGAGCTCAGCCTGTTGCTTGGCTTTGAATCTCTACATCTGCTTCCATCAGTTACTGGATGAAGGCTCTGTGATCATAGGGTATTCACCAATCTGATTACTGGGGTAGGCTAGTTCAGTGTGTGTGTGTTTCCCAAGCAATGGCATGAGATCTCAAGGTCTGGGATTAAAGGTGTGTACCACCATTGCCTGACCTCTCTGTCTAATCTAGTGGCTGGCTCTGTCCTCTGATCCTCAGGCAAGTTTATTAGGGTACACAATATATCACCACAGCAGCTACTTCTCCAGCTTCGTGTCTGCCTGTATGTTGCCATTCTCCCTCAACATGACGATAAGGGACTAAACCTCTAAAACTTTAAGTAAGTTCCAAATTAATTGTTTTCTTTTATAAGACTTGCTTCGATCATTGTGTCTTTTCACTGCAATAGAATGCTCACTAAAACAGAAGCTGGCACAAGGGAACAGGACATGCTGTGAAAGGCTTGATCATGTTTTTTGTTGCCAGATGTGGATTTTGAATTTTGAATGAGTAAAGCAGATGAATGTCTTAAGCAGTTTTAATGAGCTATACTATTAGAAACATGGTAGGCAATTGTACTGAGATCAATGTAAATAATAATAGCCCATCTCAAAAAGTTTCAGAGGAGAGGAATATTAATAAGTGGACTAGACATCCTTGTGATATTTTGGCTAAGAATGTGGATAATTTTGCCCTTATCTGAAAAAAAATTGTCTGAGGCTAAATTGAAGAGGTTTATATTAATGGCGTTGACAGAGGGGATTTTTAAGACAGCCTAGTATTGGCTGTGTCATACAGTCAGTCATTGTAGCTGTACTTATGCAGATCTGTAATGAAAAGGAAAAAGCTGAGAAAGGAAATATATACAAAGTTATGTTTGAGGTGAAAAGGAGCACCAGGAAATACAATGGAATTAAGACCATTGCTCAAGGAAATAAAAATTTTAGAGAAGAAGCTGATGCTAAGTGGAATGAAAGGAATGGTGACTTCAGGGAAAGAAGCCACCCAGCTAAGTTTCCAACTTTTGAAAATTATTAAAGAAAATTATTGAGGGAACTCTAAAAGAACTTTTAAGGTGTTGAAAATGTATTTGAGCAATGGGGCCACATTTTAGGCCCAGCAACCAGAAGAACTTGACAGCTTTGGCCACATGTTCTGGCTTTAGAATCAAGAGTATAAGGGAAGTGTGGATTCCCACACTGTGGTTAAGAGAGGCCTGAGGCCAGCGATGTGTCAGTGGTGTGCCTGCCTAGAGGCTCAGAAGGGTCATAGCATGAAGCTATGAAAGCCAGGCCTAGATTGTATTGAAGACTCCAAGATGTTGGAGATATCAGTGGTTTGGGATACCTGACACCAAGAGCTAGAGACTGGGTATGGAACTACCCCAGAAAAGGAAGTGTGTTTCAGACAAAAAAAAAAAAAAAAAAAAAAAAGCCGAAAGGTGTTGGAAAGCTGAGAAGTCCTTTGATATCAGATATGGAGATGTGGAATTTAGAATTTGCTCTGCTGCTCTTCTGTTATGCTTTGGTACAGTATTTTCTCATTATGTTTCATCCCCACCCTTTTGAGTGGTAATGTATATTCTGTGCCATTGTGTGTTGGAGACATGTGATCTGCATTTTGATTTGATGGGGGAATTAAAATTAGAAAAATGACATGAGTCTCAGAGACTTTGAATTTCAGAATTTTAAGCAGTTTTGAGAATGTGAAACTGTAAGTGTGGACTGAAATTGGACTGAAAAACAATTTTGAATTATGATATTGCTAAAAGCTCATGGGGCCAGGAAATGGAATGCAGTGTTTGTTGAGAGTGCCCACCACAGGGTCATATAATTAAATGATTAGTTATCAGGGAGTGGCACTATTTGAAAGAGATTAGGAAGTATGGCTTTGTTAGATGAAATGTATTAATGAGGATGGGCTTTAAGGTTTTAAAGTCCTAAGGCAGGCTCAGTGGCTCTCTCTGTTTCCTGAGGATCTGGATGTAGAGCTCTCAGATACATCTCTAGCACTAAGTCTGAATGCATGCTACCATTCTAATTGCCATGATAATGTTGAAATAAACCTCTTAAACTGTAAGCAAGCCCCCACTAAATGTTTTCTTGTATAAGAATTGCAGTGATCATGGTAACTATTTACAACAATAGAACAATGTCTAAGACACATGCTAAATCAAA